CCTTTTCGAACCAGAGAGAGCCCCAATTGCAGCAAATAGGACCCCTATTCCATTTCTTCCCAGTTTAGAAAATGAAGCTTATATTGTTGTCAAGAACTTTGTGCGCATCTTTCCTTCATGGAAATATTATACCGCAGACATAGAACAATTTCCAGTCTTCCTCCGCAACTTACGCGTAAGTAATGTACTAATGCTATTCATGGTCATTACTGCATAGTTTCTGCTAACAGAAGACACAAGATTTCATTATTCTAAATAGGCGAGGACCAAACTGGATTGTGAAGACGAGCAAGGGTTGGTTGCGCTTTTCAAGCACTCATTGATGAAGTATCGTTCGTACCTGAGGCAAGCGCACTTCGATGGCAAGCCTCTAAATGAAATTTCTGCAAAGTCTCCGGTGCTACATTTATCCAACGGTGACTGGAATAATCTTGTTACACATTGGTCTCGTCTGTAGCGTAAGGTACTGTCTATGATACATCACAATTTGAACTACATTTTTGAATTTGCCTTAACGTCTCACTTGTACAAAACTGTTAGCAGAAGAACATTCATTCTCAAGGGACCACAAAATCTCGCAACTATACTGCACACTGCATTGCTCTTGTGAGTACCTCTTGCCCTGTATGACCATATTTACTTTCATAGCTGTTTGATTATGTAGCATCACTGCACATGTTAGCCTCGTCATCGTCCATTTGGTGGACATTATAAGATTCGTATGGACTCTTACATAAATTTAGAATCAACCCAATGCTTTTGAAGAGGTTTAGCTTTGCAGTCCTCTTGTAAGGACTGAACATCGTCTATCACTGTACTTACATTAACAGCTACTCCCTTCGTCCCATAATATAAGAACATTTTGTACAGTACACCAGTGTTCGAAACACTCTTGTATTATGGGAAGAGGGATTGGTTCAATGTGTAGCATTCTGCATCTTATCTCCCTCGACCATCATCTACTAAAAAAGATCAAATCTATATTTAATTTTACCAAAAAAGTAGAATACATAGACAATGCCAGTGCAGAAGTGTAGCCCATTGCTCTTGTCAGTACATTTTGTCTTGTAACGCTTGTACTTCCAAGGATTGGTAGTTGATTATGTTGCATCAATCTGCATCCTATCTTCATTATCCTCTATCCCTTCCAGTATTATCATATCTATAATTACTCTCTACAAAATGTAGAGTACATGCAATGCTTATGAAGAAGATTATGTGCTGAAATTCTTGAGTTATCCTTCCCTTGACATGGAGAAGGGCATTATAAAGCCGGTGTTAACTGTTAATGTAAGCCATTCCTTCTAAAGCCTTTATCCTCAAATGCTGTTTAATTTGCTCATACTCCCTATCGTTTACTGCTGTTTAGTTTGCTGTTTCTATCAAAATGCATGTTCGCTAGAACCGTAAGTTCTAAGTTTTACTTGTAAAACCAAATTCCTTAATCATACCATGCACATTACTCAATACTCCCTATATGTATGCTTGTTTTTGTGGATCTATAATCCAGTGTGTGGTGAAGCAGCCCACGTTTGCACCTTGTCATCTCCTGTTTTTTATCTTACTGATGTGGCTGATGATATGAACAACATGCCATGCACATTAACCAAAATAGATACAATGATTGTCTGTGCCCTTCATCTATGCTTGTTATGTTGACATGGTAATCCAGTAGTGTGGTGAAGCTCCCGCATTATGAACAATGCCAAATTATGCTATTGATAGTTTGAACTTACTCTTTGTTTTCTAATTTGAAATTGGATGGAATTGACAACACAATTATCATATTTTTTTATACACGTGCAAAACCTGTCATCTCTCTGCTTGTTTCAAGGTGATATGCCTGATGGCATGCACAAGTCTGCTGAAGGTTGTGAGACAAACCCAACATATATTGCAGCAAAGAAGGCAAAACATCTTGAAGATAGCGAGACAACCCCAAATTCTTGTCTTGATGCAGTGTTCAAGTTACTTGAGACTAGCAGTCGGACAAGCTGACAGAATTCGCTATCTGAATCAGTTCGACTTCTTCAGTCCCAAGTTCTAGTAGAAAGGCATTCTGCAACTCAATTTCGACTTGAAGTCCTATCTCTAAGAAAGATTGCGGAGAACACCAATGAGAACCACATTTCTAAATAGCTACACCTAGAAGCTATGACTTACATGCTAGGTCGGCCTAATATCCTTGCTCAGCAGCTTGCGCAGCAGTTCCTGCGCAAGGCTAACCTTTCTTGAATTGTCTTGGAAGTGGTCTCGGTTCAGCATTATTTTGTTACACTGCAATGGTGCCCAGTTTTTATAATCTGCTTCTTCGTTGCGCTTTATGATCACTGGTGGTGAACTTCGATGCCCAATGGATGTAATATACCATAAATTCTTTATTGTATAGTGTAGGTTTATTCTTAGTTACTATGTCGTAATTTCTTTATTGTATAGAGTAGGTTTGTTCTTAATTCCTTCTAGTTACTGCCATCATTCGTTATCTGAAAAAAATCTAATGTAGTCGACCGGGCCGAAACATTTGCCTCTAACGGGCCTGGTTTTTAGTGGGCCATAATTGGGTCGGCCTGCATCTTTCTTGGGCCCGAATGATTGGGGCCTTCACACTTTGCGCCAGGCCCACAACTTACTCCGGCCTATATTCAGCCCAAATTTTAGTTGGGCCTTTTGTGGACCCAATGCTTAGTTTTGCCCAGGTAGCGTTGGGCCATTAGCAGGCTGAATATTCGACTAGCCTGTTACGGCCCAGATGAAACCATGGGCCTTTAGCAGGCCGAAATGCATGTTGGGCCTCAATTTTCACTAGTCGTCGATGGGCCTTCAGCAGGCTAAAATGTAGACCTTGCCTTTTTGGGCCCAGTTATATGACGGGCCGTTACCAGGCCGAAACATATCTCAGGCCTTAGTTGGCCAACTGATATCATGGGCCTTTAAGAGGCCGAAAGCTTAGTACAGGCATCAACGGGCCGAATTATACGACTGATACATCTCCAACGTATCTATAATTTTTGATTGTTCCATGCTATTATATTACCCGTTTTGGAAGTTTATGGGCTTTACTATACACTTTTATATCATTTTTGGGACTAACCTATTAACCGGAAGCCCAGCCCAAATTGCTGTTTTTTTGCCTATTTCAGTGTTTCGCAGAAAAGGAATATCAAATGGAGTCCAAATGGAATGAAACCTTTAGGAGAGATCTTTTTGGAACAAACGCAATCCAGGAGACTTGGAGTGGACGTCAACAAGTAAATGAGGAGGCCACGAGGGTCCAGGGCGCGCCCTAGGGGGTGGGCGCACCCCCCACCCTCGTGGCTCCCCTGACCGACTTCCTTCGCCTGTATATATCTACGTACCCCGGAAACATCCAAGAGCACCACAAAACCCTATTTCCACCGCCGCAACCTTCTATACCCGTGAGATCCCATCTTGGAGACTTTTACGGCGCTTCGTCGGAGGGGGAATCGATCGCAGAGGGCTTCTACATCAACACCAAGGCCTCTCCGATGAGTTGTGAGTAGTTTACCACAGACCTTCGGGTCCATAGTTATTAGTTAGATTGCTTATTCTCTCTCTTTGAATCTCAATACAATGTTCTCCTTGATCTTCTTGGAGATCTATTCGATGTAACTCTTTTTGCGGTGTGTTTGTCGAGATCCGATGAATTGTGGGTTTATGATCAAGTTTATCTATGAGAAATATTTGAATCTCCTCTGAATTATTTTATGTATGATTGGTTATCTTTGCAAGTCTCTTCGAACTATCAGTTTGGTTTGGCCTACGAGATTGATCTTTCTTGCAATGGGAGAAGTGCTTAGCTTTGGGTTCAATCTTGCGGTGTCCTTTCCCAGTGATAGCAGGGGCAGCAAGGCACGTATTGTATTGTTGCCATCGAGGATAAAAATATGGGGTTTATACCATATTGCTTGAGTTTATCCCTCTACATCATGTCATCTTGCCTAATGCGTTACTCTGTTCTTATGAACTTAATACTCTAGATGCATGCTGGATAGCGGTCGATGTGTGGAGTAATAGTAGTAGATGCAGAATTGTTTCGGTCTACTTGTCACGGACGTGATGCCTATATGCATGATCATGCCTAGATATTCTCATAACTATGCACTTTTCTATCAATTGCTCGACAGTAATTTGTTCACCCACTGTAATACTTATGCTATCTTGAGAGAGGCCACTAGTGAAACCTATGGCCCTCGGGTCTATTTTCCATCATATAAGTTTCCGATCTATTTTATTTTGCAATCTTTACTTTTCAATCTGTATCATAAATATACCAAAAATATTTATCTTATCTTATTATCTCTATCAGATCTCACTTTCGCAAGTGGCCGTGAAGGGATTGACAGCCCTTTTATCGCGTTGGTTGCGAGGTTCTTGTTTGTTTGTGTAGGTATGAGGGACTTGCGTGAAGCCTCCTATTCGATTGATACCTTGGTTCTCAAAAACTGAGGGGAATACTTACGCTACTTTGTTGCATCACCCTTTCCTCTTCAAGGGAAAACCAATACATATAGAGTATGTGATGCTAACTTGATGAAAATAATTTAGAAGCAACATGAACTCTCAAGATTAAGGAAACTAAGAACTATTCTTTGCCATTGTCGTTTGACAGATCGAGGAAGGTATTGGTGTCAAAATTGGCCCTCTGTGGAGGTACATCAACATATCATCATCACCCACCGGTTGCTCGCCGTTACCCCTGCGACCATCCATGGCCACCTTCACCGCTGCACCGCTCCCGCCGGCCGACCCCGAGAAGGAGAAGCCGCTCGCCCGCTCCGCACCGGCAACCGCTCCCGCGGACCTCGCGAATCCAGGTCCAATCTCCGTAGCCGACGAACCATTGGAGGCGCAGTTTCTTTCACCGTCCCTACCATCTTTGATTCTGGTGTCGTCGCAGGGAAGAAGACGCGCCGCCCGGTGCCGATGACGGACCAGGAGCGGCGGAGGATCAACCGCCTGAAGGAGCTAACGCGTCAGGGATGGAGGAGCTGCACGAGCTGATGGAGATCCACAAGGAGCTGCGCGACTACCACGACGAGCTTCTGTTCCGGCGGAGGTGCCTGGCCGCACGCCTGGTCAGCCGGATCGCCTTCCAGCGCCGCGACGCCGCCTACGTCAAGCATCAACTTGGCCTTGGCCTGAAGGTGGGGGATAAGCTGCCGGAGGAGCTCAAGCAGGCCAGGCCGCCAATCTCGATGGCCCTTTTCTTGTGGCATGAGATGGGCAGGGCCTTGTACATAGGCATGGATAGCTTCATGGATGAGTACAGCAACCAAGAGGAGTACCGGAGAGGGATGCTGGCGTTGGTCCCCGGGGCTGTCCCCGATGAGAACGGAGCCCCGCCGGATTCTGTTGCCCCCCAAGATCAGTAGGAATTGAATTTGTTTGCTTGGTGTGGAACTGTGGATGAGTGCTTGTTTAATCCTGAGAACGAAATGTTGCTATGTTGTGTTGTGTTCAGGTTCAGGATGACTACTTGTTTGATCCTATTGTGTTGAGGATGATTTCTTTAATGGCTCGAGTGCTTCATCAAATCATGTGGAGTAGTCTTTTAGTTTGAAAATTGAGTCATATTGCTATGTTCTGAACTTCTGATTACGATTACGTATTTTTTTTGCCTAGGAAACTATATGTAACTTGGCATGAACAGTTATGCAGATAGAACCTCAATCTGAATATTCCATGGTGACTGCGCCGGCACGGAAGGAGGGTGTCGGTGGACCGTAGCCATCCTGCACCGCTGCCGCCGAGTGTGTCGCTCCTTGATCCACTTCAGTGCTCCAAAGCTACGACCTGCCTACAAGGTTTGGTCTTGGACAGTAGGTATATATGTGGCAGGATGGCTATTGTAGCAGAAAGAAAAACTAATTCGGGAAATCAGTGGAGTCTGTGGAAAATGAAGTAAACCTATGTTACTAGAGAGAAACATTTCAGAGTTTGAACTCAGGCAAACGATTTCAGATGACTTTAGTCCAACTGGCTTCAGAAACTGTGTTAAACCAAGACTACTAATTATGATTTTCCATCTTATTCAGGACCTCTCTCATGATTTCAAAAGCATAATGCCTTTGGAATCTAGTGAATTTAGATATGTTGACCTCCACCTTATGTGTCTTATGTGTTTCCCTTGATTTTTCATTACTGAGCCTAAACACAAGAGCAAAATGCAAAGAAATTGCATTTGGAATCTCTGTGGTTGCTACTTGAGAAGCCTAGTCTGTGAACGCTCTTATATTTCTTTACAGAGGGGGTATGTTTTTATTTGTCCTTTTTTCCGTTTCAAGCTTTTTTTAGTATAGTCTAGTAGTTTCCATTTTGCTTTCAAAACAATGCAATAATAAACAAAAACAAAACAAAACAAAACGAGGTCTACTTGCCAATGAGCCTGTTGGATCCATACTACCTCCAGTGTTCAACACCAAATAACTGTGAAGCAAATCATCTCTGCTGTTCCCACACTTATCTTGCGAGACAAATACCAGTTGATTACTTATCTTGAGACATGTATATGGCTTACATGAAAAGCCAAGAACGCTGCAATTGTGTGTCTCCAGCTACATTTTTTATTTCCACTTATCTCTCTAGTCCACTGCAAGTCTGCAATGCTGTGGCGCGACCAACCGACCGGTCATGGTATCGAGATTTGTTGTGAGGATTGGCCACGATCAAGGAGAGGCCCTGTGCTCGATTTGGACGGGCAGGCCGAGCAGCGGCGACGGCATGGGGTCCCTCACAAAGGTGTTCTCCTTGCAGCAGAGCTTCCATCTGAACTGCCTCACAAGGTGGTGCATCGTCACCAGCGTCTCGATCCTGGAGAACTCTATCCCGGGGCAGATCCTCGGGCCGCCCCCGAAGGCGACGAAGGAGCACGGCGGCGCCGCCGACGCCCTTTGGTTCTCGGTCTCGAACCGGGACGGGTCGAACCTGGCCGGCTCGTGGAAGATGCTCGCGTCCATGTGCGTCACGTTTGCCGTCCAGAACACCTGAAAAACGTCATATCAAGAGTTTGCATCAGGTTTCTCGGCAAGTTGGTAGTGATGCTAGCTGCCTATGAATGATTGGTGCGGGTTGACCTGCCATCCTTTTGGGATGAGGTAGCCGTCGAACTCGGTGTCCTCGAGTGCTCTTCTGAAGTTGCCGAAGACCGGAGGGACAACGCGGAGTGTCTCCTGCGCGACCCGCCATGTGAGCTTCATCTTCGTCAGATCTTCCCAGGTGAGAGCCTCGCCGTCACCTTTGTTCTTGGCAATCTCCTCATGCTCTGTGTCACGAGTCACGACACACACATATCATGAGTTCATGACCATGACAGGTTGGTAGTTGTTGCCAACTGCCGATACATTGTGGAATGGTTGATTCACCGGTCAGTCACTTGCCTTGGACCATGGCGGCGAGGGTGGCATCGTCGTTGGCGAGGTGGCGGACCATGAACGTCATGAGGATGGACGACGTGTCGTGGCCGGCGATGAGGGCGACCATTGCGTTGTCGACGATCTCCTCGTCGGTCAGCAGCCGCTCGCCATGCCCGTCCGTCAGGCTGAGCAGGCAGGTGATGAGGTCGCTGCTCCGCGACGCCTTGCCGTTGCCGTTGCCGTGCTCCACCACCTGGCTGGCCTTCTTCTTCTCCCGGGTGATCTCCTGGAGCACCCGGCGGGCCCTGTCGCTAGCCTTGAGGCTCCGGCTGAACGCCGTGAACGGCAGGTTGACCGGGACGGCCCACATGCCCTCGATCATGCGCACGAAGTCGCCGGCCAGGGCGTCCCGCACGGCGCCCCTCTCGAGCCCGAAGAGCAGCGCGGAGATGATGTCGAACGTCAGCCGCTTCATGAGCGGCAGCACCGTCACGGTGGCGCGGCCGGCCCAGTTCTCCTCGAGGTGGCGCCGCACCTCGCCGTCGATCCTGCCCACGTACGCCTTGAGCATGTCCGGCCGGAGGAACTCGAGCAGGGCGCCGCGGACGCGCCGGTGGTCGGCGCCGTGGAGGTCCAGGATGCTGTTCTCCCCGAGTATCCGCTGCACGGACCGGGGCTGCCGGGTCGACAGCGCGCCGCTGAAGAACATGAACTTGTTGGCCGCCGGCCCGGCCAGGAGCACCGTCGGCGTGCCAAACAGCGACAGCTTCGACACGCGCCCGTACCTGTCGATCCGGGCCTGGATCCATCGGCTGCCGCCGTCGCCGCGCATGGCCCGGAGGAGGCCGAGGCTCTGGCCGATGAACGGCAGGCCGAGGGAGCCCGGGGGCAGGTTGGCCGGCCGTGCTTTCTTGGCTCTGGCGAGGAGGTGGATGGCGACGGACGAGGCGGTGAGAAGAACGAGTGCCACGACTATGGCCAAATAATCCATTGGAGAGGTGTCAGTGTTAAGATGACACTGCTGCTCCTTGAAGCTGGAGCTGAAGACGAGAGATATCGGAATATATAGGCGAGCATGAGCAGGTTGTTTCTGCGGGAACGAAATTGCTGTCAGATGGCGTAGTTCAACACGTAATCATGACCCACGGGAGATTTCAAACAAGAAAGAATCCGCCATTCCCAACGAACTTGAAAACGCTGAGATGCCCTCTCGATACCAGACAAAAAGGGTATATGCTCTTGAGGTAGAAGACAAGTCCTAGGAAGCGATGACAGTGCCATCATCCGTCAATGATAAGATGCACGCATGAAATTGGCTATTCTTTTAGGAGTCCAGACAACTATTGGCAGAGCAACACTACAATCTGTCCCTCTTCGAGGAGCATCGGCTGGCGGAGGAGTAGATGGATGCGGAGTGCAACTCCGTGGAGCAAAATTTCGTGTTTTGACCCTTTTGGCGTACATTTGACTTCAGTATGGAAAAATTTCGAGATTTGACCCTTTTGCTACCGTCGAAGGCCCTAGCGGTAGGTACTTACAGGCTACCGCCGCCCCGCGTGGCGGTAGGTTCCCCAACGCCGTCTGCCCGTTAACGATCGTGTACACGTGGCAAAGGGACCTACCGCCGCCGTCTATGGCGGTAGGCTCTTGCCACCTACCGCCGGGCTCTCTGGCGGTAGGTTCTTGGATAAGGTTGTGAGGGGAGGGGGATGTGCTGCTCCCCACCCACTCATTCACCCCACTATTCTTTTCGAGCTCAAGCTCTCTCCCCCTCTTCTCCCCCATCAAATCACCCACTAGATCCCCCTCCATTGCTTGCGATTTGGCCGGTGGATCGAGCCCATTTGCATCACCCAAGGTACCTCCCCCATCCCCCCTTCATTTGGTCAGTTCAAATCATGCTTTTTGCTCATTTTGTTGGAATCACTAGTTCATGGTTTTGTTGTGGTGAAATCAATGTATATGATGCATTTAGGGTAATGTTTGTGCTTTGACAATGTATTGTGTCAATACATTATTTGGGTAGTAAGAAATATCATTTAGGGTTTTTTTAGGGTTAGGTTTAATGACATGGTTAGGGTTAAGGTTAAGGTTATGCTTAAGTAAATGACTATATGGCGAACGTTATGGTTATAGTTTAATTAGGGTTTTGTTAGAGTAGTTACGTCTCGAATTATAGCTCGATCTACTCCTACGGTTATAGTTTTTGTCAAGAGACAGTTAAGATTTTTGCCTTGGATGACCGTTATAGTAATCCCTCGACTTGTAGGATGGGATCGATCATCTTTATTGAGACTTCTGCAGAGGTGGCGGCGAAGCGTGAACATGCAGTCATAGAGGAAAAGATGGAGTTGTGGGTTAAAGCCGTTGATGCATTGAATGCGGCTTGTAGAGATTTTTCAAAGTATTATGTGTCGGAGTGCGACGATGCCAGAGTTAAGTTATACCAAGCTAAAGAGAAAAATATAAGCAACCTCAAGAAGGAAGAAAAAATTCATAGGCGCGCTCTTGCAAGGCAAATTGCATTGTGTGGAACAAGGGATGAAGTGAATGAGATGGAATTTAACAACCCTGGCCAGATCATTGATTGGCTAGTTAGGCAACCATCATCAGCGATACTTAGTCGGGCAACTCGTTGGCCTTGGGTCCGTGAAAGAAATGATGTCATTTATTGCAACCCCAGGCCGTACGACAAAGATGTCGTGTTGATGTACTAGTAGAGGGGGTTGAAACACATGATGTTGTAGTGTCATTTGGACTGTAATGGCATGTACCCTTATCGTTTATGTAACCTATGACATTTGAACCAGTGAGAACATTATGTAGCCTAAATAAGTTATGCTTCGTGTTTGTATTGTATCATTTGATTTGAGTTTTGGTTTGTTCCATTTCATGTAGCATGGAGAACATGACCCCGGAGGAAATGAAGAAAGTATATGAGAAGTGTTGTGACATTGCATCTAAGAGTCTAGCGGTAGCGTTTGAGAAGATTGTAGCGGAGCGAGTACTTCGTATCAAGA